CCCTCAGCGCTGGCTCAGCCCGACTCTTCAACCCCTCCAGGGATCCCGGGGACTCCCCCCTGCCCTGGGCAGCCCATTCCAACGCCCAACAGCCCCTTCTGCACAGAAATCCTTCCTCAGAGCCAGCCTGACCCTGCCCTGGGCAGCTTGAGGCCATTCCCTCGGGGCCTGGCGCTGGGGCCTTGGCTCCAGAGACTCATCCCCCCTCTCTGCCCCCTCCTTTCAAGGAGTCGAGCCTGGGCTGTGAGCTGTGGCTCTTTGCCCACGTTTCTATAGTCCCCTACTTTTTCCTATAGAAAACCCCCCCGTGAAATGCAGGAGAGCAGTGTAGTCCGTGTCTGTGCTTGGGCTGGTGGGGAAGGAAAGGTTTGGGAGGTGTGGAGCCAGGTGCTGGTGTAGGCAGTGCTTCATTCCCCATATTTTCTGCAGTGAGCAATGTGGGAAACACCTATTTTTCTACACATTTGGCACACGAGCTCCATGGGACTGTAGAGTTCATGGTGATATCTCACTGTTCTTCCCCCATCCACCACCACTGACAGGGTGCTTTGACAGTACCAGCGCCCTGTGATGATACAGGTGGTGTCTGGCTCCACTCCCTGGGGGTGCTGGAGGATGTGGTGGCCTCTTCAGTACTTTGTGAACATCAGTGAGAATGGTTCAAAACCCCTCTGTTGCCATTTATACAAATTAACTTGGTAAAGCACCGCTCAAACCCCCACCCTGCATCTTTTTATTAAAGCAATAAAAATATGTAACTACAGTAAAATATGGATCTATACATATAACGTGATAGTATGGGTTTTATTGCCCCAATAAAGAGGATTGACGACTGCGTTTGAGCAGTGGCTTATTTAGGTGACAGAGTGCCAGAACATCTTGCTCAGAGGCTGGGAGAGCCGTTCTCGTGCTTCCCAGGGAGAGGAAAGGGGGTCCCCGTTGTACCCTGCATCTCCCAGTGCCTCTCAGAGGTCTGGACAGAGAGAGTCCACAGGCAGGTTGTAGCAGACCTGGGTCTAAGGTTGCGTGGTGGCCACAGTCCTTGTGGAGCTCGGTGCTTTGCAGGCGTGAGGAGGAAGAGGAGGGCCTGGCTTGCCTACAGGGATGGGAGCAAACCCATGGGGTGGTCACTGCGTGGTTGGTGGCCATGTGCTGGTGGGACCTCTGCCCAAACGACCTGGGGTCATCCACATCCAGGAGGCCTCCACGGCTCCGTGTGGTGAGTTGGCAGTGAAGGGCTTGGGGGGTTTGACAGTTTGTACAACAAACACCTCTGTGGCTACCGCAGGAGTGGAGGAGGAGCAGCCTGGAGGTTCTCAATCTGCCGTGGGACAGCCATCATCCCTCAGCCATCATCCCTCAGCCATCACCAAGTTCTCGCTTCCTCCAGGCTGAAAGTCCTCCAAGCCTTAAATAAATCCTCCAAGCCCTGGGTGAGAGCAGGGAGGGCACCATGGGACATTAGTGAGCTGCTCTTTAGGGGCGCAGGTCCTCCTCTTGCCCACGAACAGCAGCCTGACATCTGTTGAGTGCCTTGCTGTCGCCTGCTCCCCGAGCATCACAAGTGTGTTCGCAGCTCTCAGGAACTTCTTTTATTATTTGTAATGGGATTAATAAATCGCAGCTGTTCCTTTTGTTTGTTTTCATTCATTAAGCACAATTATATGCAGCCCGATTGCACCCTCTTTGATGCAGAATGGGAGAGAATAATTTTTCCTGTTGTTCAGTGCAATAATATGCTGTCATTGGCTGTGAATGAAAATCATAATTAATTTTCATTTGGGTACTTGCATCTTGGTAATCAGTGGTCCTGGCTCCTTCCAGCAGGTGACAAACCTGGGTCTGTCTCTCTCTGCTCGGTGCAGGTTTCCTTTGCCTGCATTGTTTCTGTAAGGCTGAGATAAAAGAGGAGCAAATAAACTCAGGGGCAGGTTGGGAATCTTTCAACACCTCAGCGTCCCAGGATGCGGAGGAGACGGGTGGGGGGGACGGGCTCCTCTTCCGCTTCTCAGAGCAGGCTCATTTGGTTCCAGCTCAGTCACCTTTCAGGCACGTGGGGTTTTGATTCCTGCGTTGAGTGTTGTGGTTGTTTTATTCCGCGTGTGGCACGATGGCTGCGGAGGTGGCTGGGGGGGGAGGATCCCCGGTAGCGGGTTTGTGGCGGAATCTGTGAGCTCATGAGTCCGGCTGCAGCCCAGGGCGTTCCTGCCAGGGGAGGTAAATCAAACGTGCTCGGCTCTTGCTGGTGGGTTTTCCCCTCCTTGCTGCTGAGGTGCAGCTTTCCCCTTTCCTTTGGGAAGAGATTCTCTGTTGGGCACCTCTTACTGCCCCAGCAGATGGGGACCAGCCTGGTCCTGTCCCAAAAAGCTCCGGTGGGGAGCCAGAGCCTGTTGGTGGCTGGAGGGTGCTGCGGGGCAGCGTGGAGGGTGCTGCACGGCTGGAGGGTGCTGCGGGGCAGTGTGGAGGGTGCTGCACGGCTGGAGGGTGTTGTGGGCAGAGTGGAGGGTGCTGCACGGCTGGAGGGTGCTGCAGGGAAGCGTGGAGGGTGCTGCACAGCTGGAGGGTGCTGCACAATGTGCCCCGCACGCCACTCCACAACCCACCAGCACTGCAGCAGCTCTTAATCAAAGGGAGCTGATTCTCCATTAAGAAGTTACCTGTAGGGCTCCTGATGGACTCTGCCTGCCTCCTAGTAAGTCTATTAATTATACAACAGTTTGTTTCCAATTATGCAGCCAATGAAATGGTTAATCAAGTCCCCTTTGACGGATGCCTTGATATTTAATTGCAAAAAATTTGCTCTCTCAACTAGCTCACCCGAGGAGATGAGATTTCTGTCAGGTTTGTTTTTTTAAATCGGCTTTTCTGCTCTGCTGGCACGATGTCAGTGAGACGAGACTCGTGGCTGCTGGGAGGACAACTGCCCCTTCATTTTACACTTCATTACTCCCTTCTCCCTACTCTGAGCGTTGTCTTCCACCCTCCCGGTGCTGCCCGTCCTCCCCCCGGCCTGGGGGCACGGCTGCATCCAGCCCAGGGCAGGGCATGGTCCCTCCACCCTATGATCTATCATCGCCGCGACCAGGAGCTCCTTTAGAGAGAGGAGGTTTCAAGGGAGGAAAGTCATCCTTGAATGTCTGCGGGTGCTCCCCTTGCCCAGGACTGGGGGCTCCCAGCGAGGCTGGCTTTGCTGGTGCATCCATCTGGTGGGATTTTACCCCTGGTGGTAGCTGAAACCTCGTGGATTTGGTCTTTTTGTGCTCGCGGAACCAGTTCATGGCTTGATCGTGGTCTCTGAAATGCAGCCCCTGTTCCTTAGCATGTTACAGGTTTGTTGGAGTCACGGACGTGGTGGGAAGGTGTTGTCTTGGTTTTTTTTTTTTCTCGTCCAAAAGAAAAAAAAAAAAAAGAAAGAAAGACTTCAGAAGTTCACATCTCAGACGTGGTGCTCGGAGAGCCCTAAGGGACAGCTCTGCGTTCACCCTCCACGTGACGATGGCCGTTTTCTTCGTTGCCCCATGTGCAAGTTGGCTCTTTGTCAGCAGGTCCCGGGAGGTCCCCGGAGGCTCTGTCTGTGGGGTGGTGCCACTCGGAGCAGTGTCCCCCACCTCGAGCCTCCTTGGGCTCCTCCCTGGCCCCATTAGGGACAGGAGTGAACAGGCGCTGCCGCCCGTGGGGCCACACCCCCCGATGCCGTCACTGAGCCGGCCTGGCCGTGGGTAACGAGGAGCTGCTTTGGGTAGAAGAGCGTCTCCTCATCCTCTCCTCTTGTCCCCTCTTTCCCTCCAGATTTTGGCCGCGTTGGAGAAGGACGAGCAGGCCCGGAGGCAGCGGCTGAGGAGTAAGCTGGAGCAGGCGATCGACACAATGGCCTTAAGCAGCTGAGAAGGCGTCGGCGAGGTGCCAGCACCCCGGGAGGGAGGCGGCAGGAGGGAGAGGGCCG